GAAATACCAAGTCATGCAAATGTTAAAAAAAGATTATTTATAGATGGGTTTGGTAAGAATAGCATTAAATGTGTTTCAGAAGGGAAATGTAAGAGTGATTAATGTGCAGTTGTTTGCATTTTTAATATTCCACTCATATATTAGATTAGTATTTGTGCTTACTGTCAGACTTTATTCTGTTCCTGTCAAAACACTTATTACTGCTGACAGGTATGACGTATCCACATTAATCCTTAATTCCTTGATTCAATTTTCTAATTGCTTTTTTGGCATGCGATGGTGGCCATTTAGTCTTCTATGATATATTCATTATATGGTATGTTCTTTAAAAATTTGATGTGCCATTTAAAAGTATCTGATCAAGGGAAAAACTTACAAAGTATTAGAAAATTTAAATTTCACTATAACTTTTTAAAAATTCACTATAACTTGGCATTGTATTGTGATTTAGTGTATCACAGATTCTGTGGGATATCAGTGAATTATAATCACAGAATATTAAAGAAGAAAAAGGCCCTAAATATCATCCAACCTGCCTATTTTTTCTTCCTTTGAAGCAATCGATTTAATAACATTCCCAGGACCACACAGCTAAATAGTGATAAACCTGGGCCTAGGACTCAATAATGTTTGAAATAGAGGTCAGAAATAGGACAGGTTTATGTATATAATTTTTATAACTGGAATTCTAAGTTGATTTCTTCTGTTAACAAGCAAGCTGAGAGAATGAGGGACAATTTGGTTTCTTAAATTATATTTTCTAGTAACATTTTATAATTAGGTATCTAAATCAGATCTGAGCTCCAATTTCTGTGTTACCTAAGAATGTCGTTTGACCTCTCTGAATTTCAATTTTTTCATTTGTATATAATGGAAAATAACTATCATTAATATAACTGCTGTGTAGTAACCTACAATAATGCATGCACAAGGCTTGGCATGGCACTTGGCACCAAATAATCACTCAACATGTTAACTGTCATTATTTTCCAGTGTCATATTATTCCTTTAAATATCCATAATTTAGATAGAAATGGACATGTCTTACATTTATCTCATTGAGCAACATCTTTGACAAGCTTATTTATTCGTTCATTCATCCTGTCACTTACCCTGTGCAATGGGCTCTAGAAGAAGCTATAGGTAAGACAAGGAAGCAGCTATCAAAATGCCTGCCTTCGAGGATAAAGAAACTACACAGGGAAACATAAGTTCCAAAACATTTGCAAGCCCTACTTTGGAACTACTGAAGGTTTAGAAAATTCTTGAGAAAGGACATAACATCTTTTTAAAATTTTGAATTCTTACTTAATTATAATGGCTAACCTGAGAACATCAGATAGTTCTGTAAAATCCTCAGCTGCTGAGTGCATTGTTTCCTGTAACAGGCCTTAGTGTGACGTCTAGAAGCACAAAACTTGCTTGCCCTTGGAGAGGTCAATGAAGAAGAAACATGGAGCCAGCCTTGCACATTTGTGTTTTCCAAACCTGCAGTGATTCATGTCCCAGCAATTTCCTGGAACAGGTCTTGGGTTTAATGGCAGTCTCGCTTTCAGAACACATTATTATGAGTTTTAAGAACTATCATCTTGAAAATCTTTATGATTCCAGAAGCTTCTTGGGTAACCTGTTTGTCTTTTAACAGCTTAAAAAATGGAAATATTTTAACATAAAATTTTTTTCCTCTCAAAAATAAGAGTACAATAACTTCAAACACACTAAAGTAAACCAAACAAGTCTTTTGTAAAAGTGCTGTGTACTTTTAATAAACAAAAACTGCTAATTACATAACTGTCAGTGATGTTTTCTGGCACAGTGTAAGCCCAGGTTTTTGCAGTACAACAAATATAAAAATGTCTAAAAGTAAATCGCAGTTTCCGAGTGCTAGGGGCAAACAAACCCATGCTTTATCTCTTTTAAAGGCAGCCATGGAAAATGCATGATAAATTGCAGTTCAGTGTACATGTTACGTTATTGTGAAAAGATTTTGATTCATGGTTTTGTATTTATTGCAAAACAACTGCCAAACATCAAGGTATTGGAAATATTATTATTTGTAGGATTTTGCTATTTTCTGTTGTAAAATTCAGGTGCTATCAACCATCCTTTTTATTTAAATCCTGTATGGGAAATTATATTTGCCACAACTTCTTAGGAACTAATTTTTTTAAATTATGTGAATCCTTCCAGAAGCGTCAAAGAACTGTGCTAGTAACTAATATTTTGAACATAATGAATAATTCATATTTTTGCTAATATCGCTTTATGAAAACTCTTATATAGCTAAAAAGAGACCAAGTTTTAAGCCAAATTGATTTTAAAAATAGAATTATACTCTCCTTTTACATGGTTTATCATATAAAGAGGCTTTTGAATATTTTCTAAACAATAGCAGTAAGGTAAAAGTGAGAGAATTAGTAAAGGGAAGATTTTATAGAATTAACATTCATGCAGGCATAATCCCTTTTCCACAACCCAGATGTTCTACTGCACTGTCCCTCTCTGTTGCTGAGATTCTGAAGTTTAAAGTGTCACATAATTAAGCCATGTTTCACCAGAAATTTAGTTACATTTTACTCATTTTTCTTTCCAATGATGTTTTGATATTTAGACATGAGCATTTGATATCTAAAACCTTTCCCGCTGTGTTAAAAAGAGTAGAATAGTAGCCTAGCAACATGATCAACTAATGTACTTCCAAATCTTTATTGTTTTTCTAAATCCTCTAAACTAAGAAATACTGTTTCTCAACATTTTTAATTCATCAATCTTAAAATTTACTGTTGTAATTTTGGTACTCAAGTTTTTACAACATAACTTTGGATATTCTAGCATCGGTTATTTCATTCAGAGCTGAAAACAATACAAAGAAACCTCTGTCTGCTAGTAGATATCATCATCTCTTTCTTAGATATAGTAGAAAAGATTTTGATATTTCTAATATATTACTATCATCTAAAATTTTAATTCATTTTGTATTCTCTTAGTATATTTTAAACAGTTGAATTTTTCATATATTTTGCATTTATTAAATTAAAATAAATTTTAGTTTAGACTAGAAATATGATTACAAACATACATAGCATTTTTCTTTTAGCCTTGAAATATGACAAGCCTATTTTCTAAATATTTACATCATTGGAGAATATCTATGTACTTATGCTGATTTTGACTTAACATTTTCAAAAATAAATATGGTAAATTAAGAGTATGGTTTAAAGTATAAAAACCACAGAACATGCAACTTGATACAAGTGGTACAACATGGCCCATAGCATTTTCTTGAAACATTTTAATGCCCTTTGCTTCCACCACCATGACCACTTTCACCTCTATATTGAAAACTCCCAAAATGTATCTATATGAGGACAATTTTAAAACATGAGATTTATGTTGCTATAAAAGAGAAATGCTTTATAACCACATAAAACCATTGTCACCAGAAATTTCCGTCTAAGTTTTACATGAAAGGGGACATATTTTATCTTTAATGCCTCATTAAACTTTCTGGCAATGGCTATATTCTAGAATATTCTAGGTGAATGACTACATATGTCTATATTTCTTTTGAAAAGTTTGAATATCATTGCTAGGAAAAGAAACCTGAACAAATAATTTGCTCTAACAATTAAAGCTGTAGCATGTTTCTTTTATTAAATTTTGGCTTTATGCAGAGATGTTTCTTTCATTTATCTATCATTTCTCACCTGTAGTTCTTTGAATATTGTAGCCAAAACCACCATTCCTAGGTTAAAATGATACCCTCACTGTTTCAAAAGTCATTTTGTTTTTAAACCCAAATTCTATGTATATGTTTGCATGCAAGAGGGTGGTTTGTGTATGTGTGTGTTTGTGTGAGTATATGTATGCATAAGTGTATACTTATGTATATGTTTATATGTCCATGTGTGGAGTGTGGCTTTGTACATTCACACATATCACGAGCTGCATTGTGTACTTAAGAACACAGACTCAGGAGGTAGCCTACCCTAGCTTAAATGCCAGGCCCACTAGTTCTTCCTAGATACATGAATTGAGCAAGTTTTTATAACCTCTGCTTCAGGGTTCTTATCTTGCTCCATTGTTGTAAGATTTACACATACATTAATATATAAAAGGCATTTTGCAAACACAATCCATTGTAATTACTTAATAAAATATTATTCTTATCTTGTATTAATGTACTTTATTTCTGTTATTTATACAAATACATTGGTCAGTTATTATTAAATATGTATTTCAATAAATAATTACTAAAGACTTGCTAATGTTAACTCAGTTATGTATGAGTTCTTTTTTTTGTATGAGTTTTTTAAAATAACCAAATTATATAGATGCAGAAAGTGGAATTGTGGTCATCAAGGGAAGGGAGGGAGAGAGAATGGAGAGAAGTCAGTCAAGCAAACAAACTTGCAGTTTTATAGGATGAATAAGTCTGGATAGCTGACTATAGAAAAGGGCTAAAGTTGACAATATTGCCCTGTGTGCTGAAATTTTACTAAGAGTATAGATTGTAAGTATTGTACCACAAAGGAAAAAATGTAACTATATGGAATGATGAATATGTTAATTTGCTTAACTGTAGTAATGATTTTACTATGTACATCATGTTCTACACTTGAAATATAGATAGTAAAAAGTAAGTTAAAAAAGAAAAAGACATACCAACAGAATATTTGGAATTATAGTCACTTAATTAGCTAAAAGGAAGTATGTGGCACATCATTAATGAGATGAAGTAATTTGGAAGAAGCAACAAAAGCTGCATAACTTTATGGCCCACTAGTTGCACATCAAACACAATGAAATGCCTTCGTTTACTCAAATGAAGGCCGATTCCACATCAAGACTGTGCCAGGAGTTAGTGTTCAACTGACAGCATGGTGTATCCCCAGCAACTAGGAATGTACATTTCAGCAGAGTGAAGGATAGCAAAAACGGGAAGTGAAACAGCAATGTCATGTCAACAATGCAAACTTACAATGAGTTTTCTTTTTCAGGGGGCACCCAAGCCCATAGCCATCGAACCGTGTGCTGGGAACAGAGCTGCTGTTCTGACTGTGTTTCTCTGTCTACCGAGAGGAACATCGGGTGCCCCGCCCCCTGGGCAGTCAGGTATGAGAAGTGAGGAGCCAACAGAGTTTGGCAAAACTTGTAAACTAAAAAGGAGAAATAAGCAATGCCGCCAGATAGCATAGTAAGGACCTTTGTGGAATTCTAGAGCAATGTAAAATTGGATTAGATACAAACTTTCACCCAAATACCAAGATATCTGCATGGCTATAAATTCAAATTTAGCAGTGTTTCTTTTATAAGCACACATTGAATATATGTATATTTGTGTATTACATATACATGTACATGTGTCAACACAGATTATAATTTATTGTTATTACAGTGAGAAAACTCAATAGGACACACAAGTTCTTGACCCTTCTGGACCAGTTTTTTTTTTTTTTTTCAGTATGTGTGTTATATAGAAGGCCAAAGAGTAAATATGATCAGAACTTTGCAGCAAGAATATAGAACCAACCTAGGGGACTTGTATATACTTGGTGTTTAGTGGCATCTGAGGATAACTTGATACAGCCGTCTCATGTTTAAGACATGTTCCAGCTTCCAGCACCACTCTGGCAGAGTTCATGGGCCAAGAAGACTCTTCCTCATATAAGTACCACCAGTCTGTTCTGATTCTCCTTTTCCTGAGTGAAGAGCATGTTTGGATGTTGGAAGTAATCATTTATATCCATCTGGAGGGTTTTTTTTCATTGCTGTGCTTTTATGTACCTTGTAAAGAGACTCAATGCGCATGTTGAGTACAACTTGTGGTCAAATTGTATACTACACTTCTTTTTCTCTTTTGACACAACCTATTCCGTCCATTTACAATTTATAAATGTTTTACCTCCTGATTGTTTTCTCTACTTGACTTTCAGTAGAATGGATGCTTTTTGAGGGCTAGGTGATTTCAAATCTTTCTCTTCAATTCCATTTAAGCATAAAATAAAGTGCCAGAGATCTGACAGGTTCTCAATAATAATAATTAATGATAAACTTGCCTCTTTTCTTATTTTATCTTTCCTTGCTACTCCAGTTAGTTCTGATCTTGCTCCTTACTTTCTTAATTTGTTTGTCCAAGCACAAAAATGGGAAATATACCACTTTAAACACAAACCTTAGATATTCATGTGGCAGAATTTTCCCCATATTTAGGAAATTTTCCATCATTTAAAGGACTTGATAGTATTTTGCTTCAGAAATTTTTATTGAAAGCTGATTACTAGATGTTTATTCAAAGAAATAAACTTTCTCCACACTTTTTTATGTCCTGAGTGAATGACTTGCTCTTCTCCTTTCAGCATCACCAAGGTAAATGGCATGCAGTAAGTAGTATCATTTGGGACTGGTCAGATAAGATGGATAATTACAGGTGCTGTGCCCAGCTAATGGAAGCACTGTTTTAAAGCTGTGATGAATTCCAAAACAAATGCCTCACTAATGAAAACAAGTCCATGTGATATACACCGAAGTTCTTCTAGCTCCTTGGCAAGATGACTGACTGATGGGCAGAGTGAAAGGCAACTGCCAGTACTCTGTCCCTTTAACCTTTGGATCCTTTCTGAATGATTTAAAAAGTCATGTAGCTGTGTGAACCATTACCTCAGCTGTGTTTTCTTTCAGATGCATTGTGCTTACTGATGATAATGCTATCACAGATGTGCAAAGTGCTATACTTTTACACAGTATTGTCTTATTCTTAACATTTGATCTTCATAGAATCACTGTGAGATAAGAAGTAAAAAAAAACCCTCACTTTATAAATAAGCAGAGTGAGGTGTAGAAAGCACTGTATTTCTATGCTGAAAGAACAGTTGAGAGGGGGATATTAGAGTGTAAAGCAAAGAACAAAAAATACTTATAGCATTCCAACTAATTTTTCCTAATGATCTATAGCAGAGAGCTTATTTCTCTACTGTTGGCAGCCATGTCTTCAGAGAACCAAGCATTTGGATGAGTACTGAAAATGTCTATAGGGTTGATACAGATAAACAAAATGTTGAAATAACGTGCATACTTTTTCCAGAACCTAAAGAGTGAATGATGATTAGTATCTGTGTGCATAATTCCAGGCAAGCTTGTTCTTTGTTTTCTTTTCTGTTTGTTTTAGTTTTTTTCTACATCTAATAAAATTTTCCAGCTAATCTTATAGGAGTAAGACTGTATTTTAATTCTATTTCTTCAAAATACTGTATCCTCTGTTATCTGCCCCTACTTTGAAATACATCCAAAACATATGATATAATAATGGGTGGATAGTAAGATGGGAAGATGGACTTATAAGTTATAAAGCAAGTAAAGTAAAATGTTAATGGTCAAAGCTAGATGGTGGGAATATTGGTGTTCATTATAATATTCTTTCAACTTTGCTATATCATGGACTTTAGCAATAAAATATTGAGAAACAATAAAATAATTCTTGTATTCCCTGCAAAAAAAACCATCCATAGAGAGAAATTTTCTAATGTTATCCGGGTTTTTCCTGCACAAGGCAAATACCGACATCAATATACATATTAGTCACTCACTGTCTCCATTCTTCATCAACATATTTGTTATGTGCATTTCTAATTAAAATGTAACATAGTTTCATCCAGTATTTAATAGGAAATACATTCCAGTGATATTGGAAGCCATATTGGTTCTTGGAAGAGAAATATTGATATTAGTTATCTCATTGCTAGAGTTTGGCTTAACATATTTTTACAAGAAGTTCATATACATTTCTGTATTATTACAGTTTCCTACACAAGAAAGGATGTTCGTAAATACTTCTGATGGAGATGATGTTCATAAGATACCTAGGAAACATGACCTTGTGCAAGCACTTTTATCTGTGAGCCTCAGTTCACTTCAACAAAATGATTAGATTAGAATGTGTTCATTGTTTCCTAGATTCATCTCCCAGGAGGCCTATATTCTGGAGAACCTTCTCCTGTACTGGTGTGGGGTAGGAAGTCAAAGACATTGAAGAAGAATGGAGGACAGTCTTCATGAGTTTGAGGATACAGAGAAAGCAGAAACACCTATGCACTTGGTGGTTGTACTGTGCTAATCTGGGTGCTCCAGAGAGACTGAACCAATAGCATAGCTATAGATAGATAGATGGATAGATAGATAGATAGATATATTAGAGATGATTCATTAGTGGAATATACTCATATGATTATGAAGGTGTGGCTCAGAAGCCTCACAACAGGCTATCTGAAAGCTGGAGAACCCTGAGATGCTGACAACATGGCCAAGTCCAAATCCAGAGGTCCCAACCGGGAAAGCTAATGATGTAAATCTCTGTCTAAGGCTAAAGGACTGAGAATTTAGGAGCCACTAGTGTAAGTCTGAGATCTCAAAGCTTGGAGAGCTGGACTTCTGGTTTCCATGGGGATGAGAAGAGTAGTATGTCTCATTTCCAGGAGATGGCCACATTTCCCCTTCTTCTTTGTTGACTCTGAGTCCCTGCCCAATTGGGTGGTATACGCCCACAACGATGGTGTATCTTCCCCAGCCAGGCCACTCAGAATCACACACTGACCTCTCAGAAAACAGCCTCACAGACACACCCCAAAATAAAGCTTTACCAGGTTTCTAGATGTTCCTTGATCCAGTGAAGTTCATAACTAATATCAACCACCACATTATTTTTCTCTCAGAAATTGAATTTCAGCACTAAAAAATATGCAGGTGCTAGTTTAGCCATTTCTATTCAGGAACACCTAGTGTTTTTTTGAAATTAAAAAATAGTGTTGTCTTTAGACTTTATTCTTTTTCCACCAACAACTATTTTAGTAGTATTTAACAAGTAACAATTAGATTTAGCCCTTTTTGTCTGTGTCTAAAATGAATGCATTGCCTTCCTTATGTCTCTCCTCAGACATAAAAAACCAAACAAAAAAAAAACTATGTAGATCCAGCTCTTAGATTGCCCATGTACTAATCTTTTTATTTTGTTTTTTTTTTTCCTTTTTAATATAGTAAGAGTAGGTGATTGAGGGTAATTCTTTCCCTAGGTGGCTTACAATAGTAAACCAAAAATGTTAAATAGGTTTTTTGGCATTCTAAAGCTGGACTAATCAAGTTCCCTGCTCCTCAACCCAGTAGTCCTGCTGCTTCTTTTCTGTTTTTCTGTAGCAAGCCCTGCAACCTTGCCAGACTCTTGAATTAATGTGGAATCTATGCTCTTGGTATGTGTTCACCATGCATTCTTTTTCTCTTCTGATCTCAAGGTCCTTACAGAACTGACATTCTATGAAAAGAAGGAACATTTAGTGACTCTGCTACATGACATTAAACAACCAAAAATATCTCCATTCATTTTAGATAGCACTGTCCCCAAGCATTTTAGTCACATTATGTTGAAATGTTGTCTTAATGACTTTTCTTGTTGCTGAGACAAAATACCTGACAGCCAAAATTAAAGGAGGAAAGGTTTGTTTATCACATAGTTTTTAAAGTTTTCAGTCCGTAATCAGCTGGCTCCAAGGCAGGGTAGCACATAGCATATGGGCAACAGTTCATGGTGTTAGAAGAGAGCAAATGCAACAAGGGGACCTTAACAGCATCTTTCTGCTCCTTTTATCTTATCCAGACTATAGGGATAAGGGTGATGCCAAACCTGTTGGTGTACTGGTTTAGTAATCACATGCCCTTAATCCCAGCATCACACACTCTAGATTCAGCCACCTCTGAAAAAGCCACCTATGACCACATGAGGGTTTGGGGGAACATCTAGACTCAAGCCATAATAAATGGAGACAGAGTAAATAGAGGTCTTCAAAAGCGTAAATTTAAAATGATAATGATTTGTGTCACTTTGTGATGGAGGCTTCTGGATATCACAGTTTATAAATTCTTTCTATTGAGAAGCAAATTAAATTTTTTCATTGGATTAAAAGTACCAGGACATCAAATGTCTACTGCTGAAAAGAAGCTGTGGGTTTCAACTAAAAGTAAAATTGTTCTATGGTCCTGCCTCATGTGTGACCAGAGAGAATATTGCTGGAAAGTCTATGGTTTTGAAATGTTCTACTTTAGACTTAAAAGTTTTGGCAGAATGATTA